AGTGGTCATATAAATAGAGAAATGGAATCATATGGGGAATAGATTATGGTTATATATTCGATAGATAATAATAATAATACGAAGCTAGTTGGTCAAATTAATTGTTGGTTGCACTTTCTCTAATTTGTCTTTTAATGAATGATTTGATTAGTTGTAGGCTTGCAGTTAAAACGATGGATTTTTGTGTTGTCAATGTTTATTATTTTGATTGTAGTTGTAAATTTTTAATTGTAGAGATGTGAATTAATTTATTAAAACTAAACTTGGGTTTTTTAATAAGGATTTTATAAGCCTAATAAGGTGTGGTTCGGTTCACTTGTTGGGTTTTTCTAGATTTTGAAAGGAATTTATATTCAGTGTTTTTCACAAATTTTAGATAGTATAAATATATCGTCGAAGAATATACATGATAATTGTGGCTTTTACGTATTGTTTTTTGGTGATTATAAAATCAAAATCTATGAGTGGATAATTAGATTTCGGTTTGGAAAAAAAAATAATAATACTAATACACGAACAAAAAAACAAGCCTTAAATCAATCAAGAATAAATATACAAGTCACACCACCAAAAGTTGACCACAACAAAAGAATTCACCACCGATATTTTTGCCTTTAGCGAACCCCCAAAATACGGGCCGTAAATTTGGGCTACATGGACTTTATTTTATTATCTAACCAAAGTTCGAGAGACCTTAAATTAATTTTATTTTTATATATATTTGTCGATCAACTACGAGTTTCAACAACTTATTTGTCAAGCTAAGCTAGGGTTAAACGCCATGAAAACGAAGAGGAGAAACGTCTCGCAGGATCGTCTAACAATTTCTCAGCGCAAAATCTCAATGCATGCGATCCCAACTGATCTCATCTTCGAAATATTATCGAGATTGCCTTCAAAATCTATAGGGAGATGTCGAAACTATGGGATTCCATACTTCGCAGTTCAGATTTCACCGACTTGTTCCTCACGATTTTGTTTGCCTACCGTAAAAATGGTGAGTTCTTCTTTTCTACCCCTCAACCTCAAAATCTCGATGAGAAGTGCTCGTATCATGTAACTATCAATTATCACATGAAGCTCTCGCTCCTATGATCGTATATCTTCGGATATGTTTGCATCTAGCAGTGGTTTGGTCTTTGGTATGTATTAAAGATAAACGGATCGTAAACGGAGGGGAAGATCGGTGATATGTAACTCTAGCACCGGACAATCTTTTACTTTACCTAGAATGAAGACAATTGGGAAGAATGAGCTGATGAAGAGCTATTTGGGGTAAGATCCAGTTGAGAAACAATTCAAGGTATTGTCCATGACCTTGTCATATGGTGGAATCTTGTTATATAGCGGGAATTTTTAAGAGCATCAAGTTCTAACATTGGGAACTGAAAAAGCGTCATAGAGAATGATTGAATATTGCATACCCCATTCTCCGCGTGGTAATGCGATATCCATCAATGGTGTTTTGTACTATAGAGATAAGGTCAACATGCTTCCAAAGTTTTCTATGATTGTTTGCTTTGATGTCAAATCTGAAAAGTACATTTTTATTATAGACCCTAACAGGTCTAATAAACTAGAAAGGTAAATTGGGTTCACTTTAACGAGAAAACACTGTTATGTTAGTGGAAAAACAGAATTTTTCAGATCAACGTTCTAGAAAATCCCACAAAACATGAATGGTCGAAGCATATTTACGAATTGCCTCCTTTGTGGCGGAATGTAGTTGTACAAAACGTGTTGGAATTACTAGCACAAATGAATTTGTGTTGTCCCCCCCCCCCTCCCCTTTTCATCCGGCTCTTTCTATGTTTTCTACTATAATTTGGAGAGAAAATCTATGAGAAAAGTTGAAATCAAAGGAATAGGAGCGGTGAAGGGTAAAACATGTGTACACCTGCCTTAATGAGGTAGAAAATGTTAAGCTTATGCAAACGTTTTAAGACTTCGTAACTTGAGATTTCGTAGCATGGTTACATTGGCTCTACTTTGTAACGAGATTTCGTAGCATGGTTACATTGGCTCTTAAGTTCTTACCATAAGGATCATGTGATCAAAACATTTAACTTGTTTTGTAAAGTTAAAACTTGTTTTGCTTATTGAATAACTATTTCTTCATAGTACATATGTTTTTTTGATGCCATCGATAATATACACTCTGGTCAATGGATATTCTAGAGTAAATAAAAAATAAACAAATTTCAGACGTAACTTTTTTTTTTTGGTCGGTTTTCAGACGTAACTTGGAGAATGGAGATTATATTAGATTATTTATACTTTGAAAATATAATAATTGAATTTTCATGATTTTGTATTTAAATAAATCAAATTTTACATATTGATATTTGAATAATTAAGGTACATCTAAGATTTGCGTTTTGTTTATGTTTATCTATTTTGAAAAACTGCCAAGATTGTCTAAACAATT